GTTGCTAAATTGATGACAATTGTTTTATCGACAAATTATTTTCTATGGATAAATCCATTGCAAATTGGATGTAGAAACAGATTTTATTGATTAGGGTCAAAAATGTTATCTTGTAGTGATTTCTGCCGTGTTACTTAATATTGAATAAGTAGCTAAATTCCAATCCAAACCTAAAAACAAGATAGAAGACACTAAAAATGTTGAGACATTTAATATATTTTAAACTTAAGGACTAAACTAAACAATTTATGTTAGGTGGAGAGACCACCGCTGGCTTTAACACGTTTAAAAAATTTACAGGACTGACAGCAAAAGAAATTTTGACCAAATTAAAAAGCTTATAACAATCTTCGAAGAAAATTCACAAGGATGTGATCCATCAGCTAATCAACAGCACCTTTAGTTCTTTTATTTGGCCACAGCGTCACCAACCCATTGTCCCATCTTCTCCTTACTTTGAAAAGAGTTTATTTGACTCCAGTAATTCTTTTATTATATATATTTTTGGTTAATTACAAGGTGGGTTTCCAACTTTTGCAATTTCTAGAATTTACTCTCTGAACTTTAATTTCTTTCGACCAATTTCCTAAATAACCTTCATTTACTGCAAAATATGGATCTTCTCATCTTCTCATCGTTTAGCCGATAATGTTAACTGAGGTGGGTATATATCTTGTTAAGGGCAATATTAATAATGTTGCAAAGATTATATGGAAAAGAAGAAGATGATGAAAGCAAGTGGAAGAGAGTTAATTATAAAATTGAATTTAACTATTAATTTATTATGCCATATGGATAATTAGCTACCATAATTTAATTTCTACAGTAATTAGGTCAGCAACAACAAGTAATGGTTTTATTAATTGATTATTTTTTAAGTCTTACAAGTCAACATGCTGGTTTAAACTAAACAAGAGTTGACTAGTGGTGGACTTGTAGAGTTTATAAAGTAAGGACGTCTCTAGCTTTTTGGTTTAAATTCAAAGAACATGTATAGGAAAATTGAACTTTATAAAATAAAAATTGTTCCACGTTCTCAGAAAAAAACATCTTCAAATTAAATATTTTTAGAGTTTGGCCACATTCAACAGAGTTGAAAGTATAGGCCCACAAATGCAAATAATAAAAGAAAGAAAGAAAAAAATAAATAAATAAAAAGATGCAAAAGCTTGAGAGAACTTTAATAAAAGAAATAAATAAATAGATGCAAAAGCTTGAAACAACTTTTAGAGCAACACCGTGAATTTAAATATGGTCAATTAGCCAATCACTGGCATGTCAAAAAAGGAAAAGAAAGTCAGGCAATCCATAGGAGCTTCAATGCCTTTGTATGATAATGATGACCAAACCATTATTGGGATCATTATTGAAGTTTGTTGTGAGTGTTTTCTTTTTTTTTCTTTCAAAAATAATGAGGCCGAAGCCGTAAGAAAAAAGAGACTAATAGAAGAGGGAACAAAAGCTCTCAATGCATTAATCCGCAAGAGAGCTCTTAATTTATGTGCAGGGGTGGGGGATGGGAGGGAGAATACTCATTCGTTCATGCTCGACTCGAAAAGGAGACTATTTTTGACAAGAAAGTCTGCACAAGTATTACTAATTCACCAAACATGATCCATTTCTACTTGCCAATGCTGTTGGAGCAAGCACTTTATGCTTCCAATGAATGGAATGACATCAACATTGCTACTCTATCTCTTAGTGGTTATTTCTATAATTACTTTGGATTCTATCTCTAGATGAATTCTCCTAATATCAAATTTTCAACCTACACCTAGACCCTCCCAAATATCTCACTCCTTCATCACTAGGGTTGTATCTTCACTTATATTTTTTGGAAACCCTTATTCTAGTCCTCCTCATAGTCCCTCAACAGTCCCCACAACTTGTCTTCTTTGAATTAGTTTTGAAAGCACTGTCTGTATTGAATTTAATCCAACTCTCTCTTAGAGAGGGCCACTTCTCCTAGACATTATTGCTAATATTATTTCTAGAGCTAGGGTCCTCATTGTGGAGAAGAGGTTGACAAGCCAGCATCCACTCAACTTTCATTTAATTTACATGAATGTCAACGTTTAGTTTTAATTTAATGTCAAATACAAGTTTTAAATTAACTTTTATTCAATTAGTATGAGATTATTTTGATTTAGAATCTCAAATTAATTTTATATTATATATAAATATATTATATTAATATACTTTATACAAACAAAGTAAAGCAAAATTTTTCCCATATAAAATTAAATTATTTGTTACATTAAAAAGGATTAAGAGACTATCTGATTCACTTAAAAAATTAGTGTTTAATCACTTGATTTAACATGAAAAATCTGAAAATATAGGCAAAATTCAAATATTTCAACTTTTGATAATCTAATTTTACTAAATTTTTAAGCCTTTTAAAATTTTATTTTATGATTTTTATTTTTATCTCAACATTAAATTCGGGTGTCCTGTAAAGAAGAAAACAAATAGTCAAAATTACTTTTTTTGATTTTTCATATTTGGAAATGAAATTTTTCTGGGCTAACCAAATGAAAAGAAGCCTAATTTTTTAATAAATTGGTAAAATTAGAATTTTAAGAAACTGAGTCTTTAATTTTTTTTAAAATTTTTTGTATTAAATCAAATAAACTAAAAAATTAATTAAAAATATGGTTTTTGTGAAACTCCATTCTGTGATTCTACGAAAAAACCACTAGTTACTATAGCCACTAACAGCAAAAATCCACCATGTCTTCCACATATCACTACTGAAAAAGTGTCAAGGATATCATACTTCCCAATTCATATATCTACGATCCTGCTCACTAATGAAAAAGGACCAGTGCTACAGCCGATTAAGGTCTTAGATATCATAGAAGTTCTCAAAAATAATGCCTGGGTAAACCAGAAACTAGTAATATGGGAAGATGTATACAGAAACAAAATAACCTGGGAAGATATTTCTCTCCTTAAACATTACTATCCTAATTTTGGCCTCAAGGATAAGGTCTTGATTTACAGGGAGGTAATTTAACAAAGGGTGAAGTGGAGGCTAAATCAGAGAAGCCAAATGGGGAAAGCTAGCAAAGAAACACTAATGTGGCACAATTGGTTATAACTGGAAATCATGTGGGGCAGAAACTGATGAAATCGAGGAGAGAATCCAAGGAGTTGGCGCAGTATAGAACCAAGTAGTTCGTAGAAGGATTCAATAGTCACGTGAATATAAGGGATACAAGAGAGGAGAAGAGGGTTATGTGAATTGTGAAGTTCTTTTTCCTTTGTAATTCATCTTCTTTCTCTCTCGCAATTCTCAGTGTTTGGTCCTTTTTTTTTTTGGCTCTGATCGAGTTACTCTGTTTTCTGCAACAATTAATAGCAACAATTGTTGTCTGATGTTCTATTCTACTCTATAAGCAACTGTTGCATGTATATATATATATATATATATAGATAATTTTCTTTAAAAAGATTGTAAAACTGGTTATATTTCATTTTGTGGTAATTTAGAACGAAGATATGTGTATTTGATTGACAACAAGATGGGAATACATGTGAAACAGACTCCAACAAAAAAATAACCCATTATGGAAGTTTGTTGACCCCGATGCGACCTTACTACCCAATAGTCACCATGCTCACTATCTATGTAGCCAAAGCATGACATAACCATGACTTTCGATGCCAAAGATTAAATTAGATATTTTACTACTGACCCAAATTTCATATGTATAATAGGAGAGAGGGACACCAATTGCCCATAGCTAGTGAGAGATTTAGGGTCATTAATAGACTAAATTTTAATTTGAATTTGATATCAACTCGATCTAAATTTTAAGATTTGTATTTAATTAAAATTTGATAAATTAAATTTAATTATAAATATACATAATTTGAATTAAGTAATTATATATAGAATTAAACAATACAATCTATTAAAAAATTTAGGGAACAATATAATTGTAAAATGGAGCTGAGAGACTTAAATGTAAAAAAATAATAGTGTTTATTAGATTAGAATTTCTTATCAAATTTTGAAGTATACATCAGATTTGAATGTTGATTAACAAATATTAATCTTATGCAATCTTGTATCGGGTTCACATTATACAAATTAATAATTAGATTCATATATTTTTGATTTATTCCAAATTCAATTTGTTAACAACCTATGAGTATCAATTAGATGCAATTAAAAAAAAAAAAAACATATTAGTTTGCTTTTTGGTAAGTCCATAGTCAATTGGTAAGCAAGTTATATAAGAGAAATAAGATTGTTAAAATGTCCCTAAAAAAATAATTTAGAACCATTTCGTGGCAGTAGGAAAACAAGGGCATTTCTATCTAATTGTTAACGACTGGGGACTTCTAAAATGCACTGAGATCATTATGTGGCACCAATTAGACTTACCAAAATTTTAAAGTAACTGGAAAGGAATATTCAATTCCATGCAAAACACAAGTTTGACAAACTTAGCCCACTTCCAAGTTGGTTGGCCCCGATGTCATGTCACTAGCAATTCCTTGCGCCCTTTCAAAGTTTTAGTGGTGTAAAATGGAGTAAAATGTGTGTGTGTGTGTGTGTGTGTGTGTATACGTAGGACAATTTATATTACCATAAATGAATTTTTAAAAATTATTATAAAATTAAATAAAGTTTAAATTATTTATTTTAAATTTAATTAATTGAATTAATTAAAATAGAAAATTTTAAGAATTTCAAAAATAATAGTGTGAAATTAGATAGATCGATACTATAATAATCCAACCAAATTGCCCCACAAAAAGGTAAGGTCCCGGATTCCTTCCCATTAGAAAGTTCACATGGAATCATAATTTGTACTTTTCTAGAAGCTAAACATTACTGGAATTCAACCCAAAAAATTAAACAATAGTAAAAACAAAACGCGTAGAGTCCTGGAAGCACGACAACGAGTCTATATAAACCTTCACCCTCACCAAGATCAAACCATTCTTTAAAACATTAAAGACGGCAGAGACAAACGTACTGCAAGATGCTTCCAGCTTCAGAGCTCAAATCAATTCTTGCAACCTTGTTGATCTTGGGAATGTGGGCTTTCCAAGCCACGTCTCGGGAGCTACATGACGAAGCTTCCATGGCTGAAAAGCACGAGCTATGGATGGCGAAGTATGGGCGTGCCTACAAGGACTCTGCGGAGAAAGAAGAGCGCTTCGAAATATTCATGGACAACGTGCAGTTCATCGAGTCCTTCAACAGAGCCGCCAATCGATCTTACAAGCTCAGCATCAACCATTTTGCAGACTTAACCAATGATGAATTCAAGGCCTTTCGGAATGGACACAAGCACATCTCCTCCCACCTCAACCCATCCAACTCAATGCCATTTCGATACGAAGATTCGGCTGCAGAGCCATCTGCGGTGGATTGGCGGAAGAAGGGAGTTGTCACTGCAATCAAAGACCAAGGCACATGCAGTAAGACCCACTCCCCCTTTCTGTATCTTACTTCTTGCAACCCTCTCAGCTACACGCATAAACACTCAATTTGCCATGACGTAGAGGTTTCTATTTTTAAAAAATTTTTAAATTATGACGTGTAAGTACAAAGAACTTTGTCTCTTTTTATTATATAAAATTTATCTAATATTAATTTTTCACAGGAATAGTGTGCACTTATCCATGTATATCCCTTTTTGTCTCTTATAAACATGGCATTAATTTTTTATTCCAAAATTTTCTCGTCAATCTACAGGAAGTTGTTGGGCATTTTCGGCAGTAGCAGCCATCGAAGGAATCACCAAACTAAAAACTGGCAAGTTGATCTCCCTTTCCGAGCAAGAATTAATAGATTGTGTCAAAACTGACCGGACTGAGGGCTGCCAAGGCGGGTACATGGAAGATGCCTTCAACTTCATTATGCATAATGAGGGAATCGCTGGCGAATTGACCTACCCATACGCAGGAATTGACGGAAATTGCAGCAAGAAGAAAGCAATACGCGCAGCCAAAATCAAGGGTTATGAGAAGGTGCCCGATAACAATGAGAAAGCATTGCTGAAGGCCGTGGCCAACCAACCGGTTTCAGTTTATATTGATGCAACTGGGGGTAATTTCCAGTTTTACTCGAGTGGGGTGTTCTCCAAGGGTGAGTGTGGGACAGACCTAAACCATGCTGTAACTGTAGTTGGGTACGGGACTAGTGAGGAAGGAACCAAGTACTGGCTTGTGAAGAATTCATGGGGTACCGAGTGGGGAGAGAAGGGTTACATTAGGATGCAAAGAGACATTGGTGCCAAGGAAGGCCTTTGTGGGATAGCCATGGAAGCTTCCTATCCTACTGCTTAAACAAGGAACAAGCAAAAATGGGCTCCCAAATTCCATTTTAGTGTGAGAGTTTATGTTCTTATGGGTGTGACAGGTTACCTACCTTTTTTACTTGTACAACTCTGTGACTGTAACTTATATGTAGCTGAAGCGTCATAATCATAAATAAAATAAATTACTGTTGTGCACCAATCATGAAATATTTGATCCTACAAGAAGGAAGAATCATCGATCTGCAGTAACAACTTGAAAGGATTGTCTAAAGATAAATTTTCAGAAAGGACAAATCCATCCATCATATTAAGGCAAGGAATGGTGATTTGATAAGCATCAACGAACTGAAGCCAATATCTCCAAGAGATGCTGCCGAAGTCATGCTCCTAAAGCACTTTTACCTATACATATTTGTCACTTTGTAAGGCTGCTCAATTATAAGTGACTAAAACCCACCCTCCTCTGAAGGATTTAAGTTGAAACCTCGAGTAGTTATTATGTTGACAGGTAAGGTCAATAAATCGGACCAAGAGTAAAGCTAATGACTGAGAGGGTATTTGAAAGGATTATTGGTTTGAGTTGTGAAAGAGTTCACGCAATATAATTTGCCCTGAATATAAAAATCAGGCAGATGTATTTATCATATGTTCCTCCTACCGGAAGACATTGATTTATAATTTATATAATGCGTGGTTATAACCTAAGTTTTGTTTGTTCATAAATTTTCGTGTGCGCCATTATATTCATCATTAATTTGTCTTGACTGTGTGCTTAATAATAAACACTCTGACTTACTTGATTCAGGCATTAAATTTATTAAAACTATGTAAGGACAAAATTAGTAAATTTCCAATTCTTTCCAAGTGAATTTGTGGAAGATGAATCAATTATTCGCCATAAACAAGAAGAAATTGGCTTTCAAAACTTCCTACTTGGTCGAACATGAAATATGTCTCATTTTTGTTTCTAGTTCTCAAGGGAATCGATTTCCTAGGTCCTGTTAGAGTTTGAAAATTAGAGAAGCCGGTTTGAATTAGTAAAACAAAAGGGCAAAGGAACAAGTTAAAATTCAAAAGTTAAAAAGCAAAAGCCAAAAGCTATTGAGGAAAGGAATCGGATGCCGGACTTGCTCTCTCACACGAAATGCACACGGATTGATAAACACAAGAAAATCAAACCACGTTCCACCATACAGACGAAAATGTTCTCCTCGTTTCTAAATATTTATGGTGAAATATTACACCTCTGGTCCCCTAATTTACATTCCATTTTATGATTTTAGTCTTATAATTTAAATTCTCACATATGTGGTCCTAAAATTTAATGTAAAAAAGCTTAACCAATATACATAACACACATCTAAATATACAAAAGAGAACATCTGGCTTAAATTTCTCAGAATTTTCATATTTTTTTAAAAAAATATGAAATAAGAAAAATCTAACTCCAAATACCCATGTTTAAAAAAATTAAGCGGAAGCCATTACTGCCAATACTGATTTTCTCCCCAAAAAGAAATGAAAAAAATAAAAAAGAGAAAAGGATAAAGATGTAAATTACTTGAACCCTATTTCATGTCTTGGTCGCATGAAGATAAGAAACAAAACTTGGGTCTTTAATTAATAAGAAAATGAACCTTCATGACTCACGTGCCCGTCAGAGTCATCTAGAATGCCACGATCTTGATGGCAACGTTGACGTGAAATTAGGCTCCCAACTTATGGAAGTGAGACAAAAGGCGAAGTGGTTTCAAGCCGAGCACAATTGACCAAAGTACCCCACCACAAAACTTTACGACCAGATGACGTAAAAGGGCAGTTGTCACAAGTCTTCTCACCAACTCCCGTTGACGTCCATACAGTGAAATGGTTATTCACACAACTTTTTCTTTTCTTTATTATAAATATTTTTATTATTATTTAGTTTAAAATTAATTTCATTGGAAATTTATAGCACCATCCATCTAAAATATATTTTCACAAAATCAAATTTAATTCATTTTTATATATAAATAAATGTCTTATCAAATTTATTTACACCTATTAAATTAATTGACACAATTTAGCATAACTAATCCAAATTGGCATTATTATATCAGTGGTTTCATGGGAATAATTTGTAACGACCTGATACTACTGGTCCTAATAACTTGTTGAGCTGAATCACTGGCCCAAAATGTTTAAGTTCAAGTTGTTCAGTAGTAGTTTTTAGTCTCTTATATACTCAGCATCTCTCTCGTGTTTTGTCGATGTGGGATTTGTCTAAGGGTGTCACACACACACAACCCCTCCTTGGGGTGTCACACATACACCCCCCCTCTTTGGGACTCAGCGAGAACTCCATCCTCTAGGGTGTCACATACCCCCCCCTTTTGGACTCAGCATCCTCGCTGAGATTTGCCCCACCACCGTTCAAGGTTGCACGCGGAGTGGCTCTGATACCATTTGTAACGACCCGATACTACTGGTCCTAACAACTTGTTGAGCCTGAACCATTGACCCAAAATGCTTAAGTCCAAGTTGTTCAGTAGTAGTCTTTATCTCTTATATACCCAGCATCTCTCCTGTGTTTTGTCGATGTGGGATTTGTCTAAGGGTGTCACACACACACAACCCCTCCTTGGGGTGTCACACATACACCCCCCCTCTTTGGGACTCAGCGAGAACTCTCCCTCCTTTAGGGTGTCACATAATTGCCAAATATTCTATCAGGAAATTAAATACTTTACTGTCAGTCCAAATTCCATAAGAAATTATAGGCACATATTGCCCCATAACTTTACAAGGAATAATATTTTCTAATTTCTTGAAGCAGAATATCACATAAATTGATCCAATTAAAAAAAAAAAGAAGAGAAAAAAATCACAGGAAGAACAGAAATTGAACCATTAGATTTAACAATTTATTTAGTAATAATTTTAGACATATTTAAACTTAAGCTGAATAATAATAATTCTAAAAAATCTTATCTACTCATCTATCTTATATTTATTATTCAGTGCGAGATATCATAAAACTGTCACTGCAATCAAAGATCAAGGTATAAATGGAGTAAGAATCACTCTACTCTTCCTCATCTCACTTTCTCCGAGTACATCCTCTTAGTTACACGCAAATCTACTCCGTTGGACAAGCCATAGTTTGCTGAACATGTACTATATTGGACAAGCCATATATATGTGTTTTTGAAACAGAAGACAACCGCTGTAGAGGACTTCTGATGTTTGACGATAGGAGATGAGGGAACATTACATGACAGATCTTTGATTTTCTGAAAGGGGGGAAAGGGCTAATCTTCCTAATCTCGTCTTCTGTACTGTCCTTTGCTTCCCTAAAAACCACACGGGAAGAGGAGAAATCAAAATCTTGATCTCCTACTGTTTCTTGGATTTACAATTTCCCTTTTTTGTACTACCACATAAATCCTAATCTCCTATTTTTTGTACTGCTAGAAGAAATTTCTCCGCTCCAGATGCTTGGAATTGGATTATTTTAGGATTCTTCAATTTTATTCTCCACAAAGTTGTTAACTTTCGAATTACGGTTTTGTAGCTCTGATTATCTTTTTCAACCATCTGACTTGGGCACAGAGAGGTTTAAAATCTGTATCTAAGTTGTCAAGTTCTTTGTCTTTGTAATTAATCTTGTAAATATCGCATGTCGAATTGTAATAGTACGTTTGAGGGTTCTGCTTATTTTTCTGTTTAATTTTTCTTTTCTTTTAAAGTTACTTGCTTATTCGCTGGTTCATCATTTATTGAAAAGTTTTTTTTTTCCCTAAGTTTTTCTCCAATCGATCATCCAATTGGGTTCCCGTGACCACGGGGGCTAAAACTTCAAATTGGTTGGAAAGGCAAACTGAAAGTTCTATGGCAGAGGCATACAGCTACTTAGAGTGACTATAGAGGCCACATGGGTTTTTTTTTTTAAAAAAAAAAAAAAAAAATTTCCCTCTCTTATCAAGCAGCTTAACAAGCAATTAATGACACTAATAATTAGCCCGCTTCTATATTTTAGAATTAATAAATAACTAATTAAATAAAATAAGAATGGAAAGAAAGAAGAATGGAGAAAGTTTGGTTGGAAAGCAAGGGAAAGGGAACCTTTTCCAAGTGCCACCTCACCGGAACTTTTCCCATGTGAATGGACATCCCCCCTTCTCTATACACAAAGCATTCCAACCTTTGATATGCATTATTATAAATGAATGCATATGTGTGTACACGGGGATGTTTGTTTTCAAAAAGTAGCTTTGGACAAGGGCTTTTTAAAAGAAAAAGTTAATAAAATGAACTTTTGATTTTCCAATTTTTTTTCCCTTTTGGTAGGTGAGAGTTGCTAATTTACATAATTCAGTTAATAAAAATTCAAAAATTATTTTTGTAATAAAACATCTCACAAAGACAATGTAAATTGTCATTATATACACACTAGTTTGCTTATTTAGCTGTTTTTCCAACTTATATTCCTCTTTAGTTCCCTATCTGCTGTAATAGTAAAGTAATTCTACTATGAGCTTCACAACAGTAATGAAGAATTTAATTATCTTTACAATCAATAGTATTATTAAGCTTATGGTCTGATGCTGACCCATAGTAGTCTTGACAGAGTGCAAATGTTCATCATTCTTGCACTCATTATTATAGTGTCCATATCTTTGATCTTGCACTCATTACTATAGTGTTCATATCTTCTATACTTGTAACATTTTACATTTCTTTTTTCTTAGAATATTTTGAATATTTTCTGTACTTTCTATATTTTCTATATTTCTTTTCGTCACTATTTTCTGAATATTTCTTCTTTCTATAATTTTTCTTATAATATTTTTTAGGATTTCTATTTTTTCTTCTAGATGGTGCTACTATTTTCTCATATCCATATTGTTCACAAAATTCTCCTAATTCTTTTCTACTAGTTTTTCCTTCTGATTTCAATTTTGCTTTTAATTTTGAGTCAGTACATAATGCTAATCTTTTGTTATTTACTACAGTTGCTAATTGACCATAAGTTAAATTTTGCCAAGA